GCTACAGTCTCCTTGCTCTGTGGTCTGCCACTGAGCATGGCAATGGGCTTCAAGGAAAGGGAAGGGTCTCCTTTCCCATGCCAGGAGGGTGCTTGTTGATGTAGTTAGCCCTGGGAAACTACACTTAATGGCCCTGGGAAAATCACTTAACTTCTCTTCAAGTTTCAATTTCATGCCTGAAAAATACCTATAATAATATCTACTTTCTGGGTCATTTTAAACATTACACGAGTTCATACTTTCTAAAACACTTAGAGCATCTCCAAGCACATGCTAAAAAGTTTGCTAAATAAATGTTAATGTTAGCACAGAGATTAAAAACTAACTCTCTTAACTGCATTTACATTCTTGGGGGCATACAATTGATAGCAGCTTGAATTTATTTCAAAAACTCAAATTCCACTCTTCTTTTGATTTTCACTCTTACACTCCATGAGTAATGTTAGCAAGAGTGTTAACTGCACATGTCATTGTACAGTTTGACTCTATGGGTAGAAGGAGCAGATATTCATATAGCCTTTGAGGGCAACAATGCCATGTATAATACTTTGTGGTCTAAGGTTACTTTTCACCTTTCTTTAGGGAGTTTTACTTTGCCTTTAGGTTGAATATGGATATGAAGGGCAGAGAACAGTGATGACTGTTGATGTGATGAGACAGAAACAATGCCAAGGACACAGGGATGATGGAAAGCCCATTCTCAGAGTTCTATTATCCCAGCTCTGACTGTGGCAACAACTTCCAAGGGTGTGAAAGAATGAAGCATGTCACCTATCAGAACTGAGGGAGAATATCTTGACACTGAGAATTAAGGAAAATATTTGTGTAAAATTAGTTCTCAAGAGATCAATAAAGTGACTTTTAAAGATCTTTTCTAGGTTCTGGAAAGTGAACTCGCCCTCTCTCACTAGGAGGGAATGTAGCCTTGCACAACTTCTCTCCCACTAAGAAGGAAGTGCATGCGTGCTTCTGGTGTGCAGGGACCATGGGCAAGAGCTGTCCTCCTGCACTGGGACATGAAGGGGCAGCAAGGCAAGGATGCTCCCCAAGTGCCTGTGACACTACTGTGGGGAACCCTACCCACTGCCACCTTTAAGAGTTCTGTTATTTTTTTTTAATGGTTTCATCCAACTTGTACACAGTTCCTGTGGAATGTTTATGAGTGGAGTTACCTTTCTTCCAGCTCTAAATTCCAGTGTTTTTTGCCTTTTAAAAATTATTATTTTTATTAGTATATAATAGTTGTACAAGGAGGATACATTATGATATTTACATATTGCTTACAATATATTTTAAATTTACCCCTCATCCCCACTCCCCCCTTCTTAAAACAATTTCAACAGGTTTCATTATTCTATTTTCATACATGAATACAAAATATATCTACCATATTCTCCCTCCTTCACCCTTTCCTTATGCCCTCTTCTGCCACTGGTACCCAAACCCCAGAAAGTAACCATTTTGCCTTCCTGTCCTTTTTTTTTTAAGTGTATATTGATAGTCCAAGGGGGGTTCTGCCTTGGCATTTCAGATCTCTCTCTCTATATATATATAGATATATAGATATTATTTTAATTAGATTAACCCCCCATTACATACTCTTTCGCTATTGCCTTGCTCCCCTATTATTCAACAGCTTATAGTATATTGTATTATATTATCTTCACACATAGATGTAAATGTTTCAGTGTTTTTCATTCTAAGTTCCAGTCTTAAATGATGGACATTTCAACTCACTAGCAGAGTTGTAATCATGAGTAAATCATTCAAATACTTACTTTGGTAGAGACCTACTGGCCCTAAAACTTTTAGGAACTTTGTTGTCCACCATCTTGATCATGGTTGGCAGTCCCTCTCCTAAGGTTCTTCTAGATATTTCTATCCTACCAGTAGTTAAAAGGGCAACCCTTTGTGAAGCAGAGTCTCTAGGACCATGACCCATCTTAAAACTTTCCATCTGTTTTCTTGGCTTTTACCTGCTCTGCCCTGAACAGGCTGCTAAATATTGCAGCTGTCACCTTTGTTTTACAACTCATTTTAGGTAATGAATACAGGATTCGGGACTAATTTTTTTGTATCATTAGATTTTAAAAAGTCACAATACTAATATTAATCATGATCAATCAACTACAGCAGTAGTACGAAGTAGTCCTCCCCTTGTTTGTGGTCCTGTTTTTGGTTTCAGTTAACCACAGTCCACTTCTGCCTGAAAATAGTAAGTGGAATATTTCAGAAATAAGACATTCTTAAGTTTTTAAATTACATGTAATTCTGAGTATTAGCATAATGAAATCAGGTGTTGTCCTAATGCAACCTGCTTGAGATATGAATCATCCCTTTGTCCAATGTTCCCATGCTATGTACACTACACTCCCATTAATCATCATATTGTTTATTAGATTGATTTTTGTGGTATGGCAACCCTTATTTTACTTATTAATGGCCCCAAAGCATAAGAGTAATGATGCTGGTAGACTGGCAAAGTTGTAAAGGGCATTCTTTGAGTGAAAAGGTGAAAGTTCTTGACTTAAGGAAAGAAAAAAAAACAACTAACATGCTAAGGTTGCCAGGATCTATGGGCAATTATTATTACTGTGCCTAACTTATAAATTGAACTTTATCATAGATATGGATGCACAGGGAAAACATGGTACACTGTAAGATTCGGTAACATCTGTTGTTTCAGGTACTCGCTGAGGGTCTGGTTATATATACATACCTGTGGATAAGGGTGTGACTAATGTAATTTTGTAGTTTGAAACAAATTCAGGATGTATTTTATTTCAGTAGAAAAGATAAAAATATTAAAAATTTGTCTTTCAAGTGTATTACACAAGAATCTTCAGAGAGCAGCGACTAATCCTTTTAAATCCTGAAGGCTGAATAGTATGGTCAGAATTATGTCTGCACACTGGCAACTTGAATGCTCACTAAAATATGCTGAGAAATTCACTTATAAGTGACAATTACTTTTACGTGGCAAAAAAGTGTATTTACTTTCTCTTATGGTTATACTTTTATGTGACAGCCCAGCTCCTTAACAAATACTTTCACCTTGCTATTGATGCAGGTTGGAGGAACTGTGTGAAATGACTTTCTGATCCCATGATGGTTTTATTGCTTTGTAAAGCATTGGACACTATGATATCATGATTTCAAAAATGATTTTGCAATTTACTGTGAATATTAGGAGGGTAATTTATGTACATATGAGAGAGCCTAAAATGCTTTGGATATTAAAAATTAACAAAATCTTTAAACTCCAGCATATAATAATAATTCCTTTATTCCTTAGAATGAAACATTTTAAGAGAAAATCGGCTTCCATATTTTTATAAAACAAAGATTTAAACATATATATTTTACCATAGTTTCAAATATAATTGCCAGATTAAAGAAAACCCAGAGAATAAAGAAAGATTGATAAACATATATATTATACATGTAAATATGATTATAGAAGCCTAGAATAGTCAAATTCCTGTTGCATGTCTGGGGAAAATTCCTTGGCCTTGAGGTATAATCCCTTGCTTTGAATTGGTGTCAAATTTGTCTTTTTGACCTAGAACACTAAAAGATCTTTGCTTTTTCCTTACACTAATCTTTAGTCTTTGTAAAAAATAATAATTCAAATGTGTTCTAAAACAGAGGCATGTGGGTTAAAAAACAATAATTTACAGACTGAACAAGTGAAGTAGGACTACTACATTGGTAACCTTAAATGAGACATGCCTTATGGTATTCTTGCCTTTCTGTAACCCCCTTCCATATTGACTCTGTACTTAGTCATGTGACCTGTGATAGCCAATGGGACAGTAAAATAGATTATATAATTAGTAGCTTGGGGGTTTTCATATAGAACCCAGCTGCCTCACTGTAAGAGAGACCGCCAAGTTTGCTGTAGAATGTGAAGAAGCTGTGTAGAGAAGAATGGGAGCCAGACACAGACAGGAGAGTGGGGCCTCCTTAGATGCCTCAATCCTGCTAAAGCTCTGATTAAAAGGCACACCTGAGTGACCTAGCCAGCATCATATGGTGCAGATCTATTCATACGAGCCATGCCCAAGTTTCTAACTACAGAACTCAAAGCACTAAATTGATATTGTTTGAATTAATTATATTTTTGAGTCATTTGTTACATAATAGTTGGTAATGGATATGGTAAGTGATAGCAAGGATTTCCCCAAGTTCTTTCTAGAAACAATTCCAAAGTACATTCTCCACTCACATGTACTTCTATATTTCTGATTTGTTTGTTATTGAGCCTGCATCTCCTGCTCTAACTCTAGCCAGTTGGGAAGAAGAACAGAGATAGTTAATGTGAAACATGTGGTTGATAAGAGCTATACTGTATTTTGATCAAACTAAATGACAAATCCTTGGTGGGTCTCAAAGGCACACCATTTTTGATAATATGCATTTTAAATTAATTCTACTCCACAATATGGATTGCTGATGGAAAGAAATTACTTTAAGGAATTCCTGGTACATATAGTCTCTGTGGTCTAGTCAGGTGAATTTCCTTCTCTGTATAGACCTCTATCCTGACATCAAATGCTAAGCACCTTTGGAGGACTTTTTTTTTTCAGGAATAATCATTTGACATGTGAAGTTTATTAGACTGAGCAAGTCATTGGGTGTGTGTCTCCATTGTCTTCCTCTGGAACTAGTGTGCATCAGTAGAAGAATGCATTAGTTGAAGAGTCTGAGGAAGCTAGCAGACAATGTACCACTTTGGAGGATAGTGATATTACTTCACTGGATAGTGTGACTTGTAGCTCAACTACAGCAATTAAATGGTTTTAAGCAAAATGTCTGGATACCAAGAAGAAAACAATATAACCTGCCAGTATGTATGACTAATGACAAGATAATTGCTGCTGTTTCCACTGTTACTATTTCCTTTGTGTTTATTTGTGACTCTAACTACCAGGTAGGTAGATGTAAAATACCAATAAAAAAGAATCCTTATCAGATAATGGCGTAAAAGTGACACTTACAGAAAGCAGTATTTGGACAGCACTGTGGATGACCTCTAGGTACTGGAAATTGATGACACAGCCTGTGACAGAGACATAGGTGTAATCGTCCATCATGCCATGGGCTGATGGAGGCAGCACTCTTCGCTCACAGCCAGGCCCATGTTCCCTCCACCATGACCGATGCACAGAGATATTGAATGTCATCAGATCTGTATCCTATGTGGGCAGGAGACAAGATAACAAAAGGAGACAATTGTATTACATAACGTTTTTGACTTCAACCTTGGGAAGAATTAGGATGGATGAAATTGCCAGATTACAATTTCAAATAAAATGGAACAAATGACAAAGCTAAAAATGGCTGTGTGTGTCTGCACCATTGGCTTGTTATTATTCAATGTAGAGATACAGTCCTTTGAATATTATTAACATTGTAAAGTTATCACATATTAAAAATCCAGAGGTGAAACCTTCCATGCATGTTCGTTTAAAAATATTTTGCTTATTTTTGAAAACTTTTTCCTGCATTTTTTGTTGTAGCATTGATATCACCATTCTAGACCAGCTTTTACTGAGAGTTTTATTATAAGTAAGACTTTGAGTTTTAAATAGTACAGTTGTTCATGAGTATCCATGGGGGATCATTTCTAGGATCCTTTACAGATACCAAAATGTATATAATTTCAAGTCCCTTATAAAATGGTGTAATATTTTTATATAACCTATGCACGTTTTCCTGTAAATTTAAATGATCTCCAGATCACTTAAAATGCCTAATAAAATGTATATGTAAAAATAGTATGTTGTTATTTTACTGTATAATTTAGGGAATAATGAGAAGAAGAAAGTCTGCACATGTTCAGTACAGGCACAATTTTTCTTATTATTTTTGATCATTCATGAATATGAAACTCACATGTGTAGAAGGCTGACTTGATATCCTATAATGTTTATGTATATACTATTATCAACCTATTTTTATATTACAATGATAATTGTCTCTCTAAAAGATACTTGTGTCCTAATCCCTGAAACCCATGCATTTTATCTTATATGGCAATGTAGGATTTGTAGATGTGATTTAATTATATTTTATTTATTTCCTGGATTATCTGGGTAGGCCCAGACTAAAATCATATGTATTCTTACAAGAGGGAAGTGGATGGAGATTAGATACAAAGCAAATGAGGGGAAGGTGATGTGGCTACAGAGGTAGAGACTGAGTTGATGTGGTTAACAGCAAAGAAATACTGTTGGCCACTAGAAGCACGCAGAGTGAGGAAAGATTCTTTTCTAAAATTTGTGAGAGAGCGTGGCTCTGCCAGCACCTCAAATTTAGCTCAATAAAAGTCATTTTAGATTTCCGGGCTCCAGAACTGTGAGAGAAGAAATTTCTGTTGTTTAAGCCAACAAGTTTGTGGTAATATGTCATAGCAGCCAATAGAAACAAATACAGGTGAGGAAAATGTATCACCCAAGGTAGCGCACAGCTAGTTAGTGGTAGAGTAAGGATTTGGCTCTACTCAGTCAGTGTGTTTGCTATGTCTATCACATCATGGAAGTCTCTCACATCATTTGATGTCTTTCCCCTCTTAACCTCTGACCATTCCTCATACTTTGAAGGGAGTTACTTACGTTCTCCTTAATTGTTTTTAGAAAATACCACCACAGTCAATCCAAAGAACAACTATACCATCCTAATTTTTTTGTTTTTTTAGCAGAACTGGGATTTGAGCTTAGGGTTTCATGCTTGCCAGGCAGGCCCTCTATCACTAGAGCTACTCTGCCAGCCCTGTTTTGTAATGGGTTTTTTCAAGATAGGGTCTCGCAAACTGTTTGTCCAGACTGGCCACAAACCACAATCATCCTTGTCTCTGCCTCCCATGTAGCTAGGGTTATAGACATGAGCCACCAGCATCCACTCCTAAATTTTTATAAGTTAAAATGTCTCCAAAGTGCTTAGTGGAGATAACAGGTCAGGAATTTTGATCCTCAAGAGACTCTCTTTAGTATAGATTGAGTATCTCTAACCTGAAAATCTGAAATACAAAATATTTCAGGCCTAAAACTTTTGAATGCCAAGATGATGGCACAAGTGGAAAATCCCACACCTGATCTAAAATACAGGTTGTAAAGTGCAGGTACTCTAAAAATGTTGTATAAAATTACCTTCATTCTTTATGTGTGCAGGGTACATGAAACAAATGAATTTCATACTCAGGCTCATGTATATGAAAATATTCCAAATTAAAAATACTTGAAATCTGAGTCATTTCTGGTCCTAAACAATTTGGATAAGGGATATTCAACCTTTATTTCTGGAGTCTCAGCTATGATGGATTGATATAATGTTTTTGTTATAGACAATAGATTAAAAAAGATGAGGAACCAAGTTATTGACTGCCAAATAACGATTACAACACTCCTGTGAAGCAGAAGTGGGGAGGAAGGATGCTGCAGAGCAGGCAAGTGGCACTGGCCCAGAGTGCCGCTCTATAGGGAGCTGATTTTCCAGCTCCAGTCCCTCTGAACAAGCTCTGCTCTCATTCCTCCTGGGGCTGTACCAGAATAAGGGCCATCTATGGCCTTTGGTGAGAGGCCAAGGATGTTCACCAACTGTGCAGCACAAGTGATGCTCACTTGAGTATTATGAGATGCCTTGGAGGACAGTCTCCATCTAGTAGCTTGGTATACCCCTAAGTTCCTGAAACTGAGGCTGGAATTCTGAAAACCTGGGGAAGCTGATGAGAAATGGAAAGCCCTTGAACTTGTAAATGGCTGACACTTTCAGTGTCAGCACTAGTGAAAGCACTAGTGTAGTGCTCTCTGATCAAGGGCAGTAGGGAAACCTGCCTCCTATATTCTGCCGTATATGACAAGTCATCAGGTTAGAAACATTTCCAGTGCATGTTAGTGGACAAAGTTCCTTTGCACTCTTAAATTTTCCTCAACTTAAGGAATTCAAAGTACCTTTATGGGGATTGGACTATGAGCACATGATAAAAGCGAGAGCACACAAGGGAGGGGTGAGGATAGGTAAGACACCTAAAAAACTAGCTAGCATTTGTTGCCCTTAACGCAGAGAAACTAAAGCAGATACCTTAAAGCAACTGAGGCCAATAGGAAAAGGGGAACAGGTACTAGAGAAAAGGTTAGATCAAAAAGAATTAACCTAGAAGGTAACACCCACACACAGGAAATCAATGTGAGTCAATGCCCTGTATAGCTATCCTTATCTCAACCAGCAAAACCCCTGTTCCTTCCTATTATTGCTTATACTCTCTCTACAACAAAATTAGAGATAAGGGCAAAATAGTTTCTGCTGGGTATTGAGGGGGGGGAGCGGGAGGGGGCGGAGAGGGTGGTAAGGGAGGGGGTGGGGGCAGGGGAAAGAAATGAACCAAGCCTTGTATGCACATATGAATAATAAAAGAAAAAAAAACAAAGTACCTTTATGTCTCAAATTACATCAATAATAAAACATTTGGCAGTCCTTTTTGTTTGTTGGTGGTTTGCTATTCAGTTACCTTCACAGTACCTCCTTTATTGATAAAAAAATGTTTTATTTTATTTTGGGGGGTTGTTGATTTGCTACAAGTATCATTTGCAGTTATCATCTGATGGGAAAATATTATAAAGTCATTGCTTTAGCTAGTGAATTCAGTTTAACATAAGGCAATTTACCTGCAGGCAAATTTCAGAGATGCACACTGATTGCTCCCTTCTATGGTCATCAGATTTAATCTCCTACAGTTAGTTTTGATCACTACAGATGAGTTATGAGATATTTCCATCTTAATAGAATTCATTTGGCTCAGGATGAATTAGCATGATTTCCACCAGTTTCAATTTTTTAAGCGTTCATATTCAGTGACCTTTTCCATTGCAAAATGTAAGTTCTATTCAATATGACTTTAACTAAAATTTATGTTGTGCAAATAAAACACAAGTCAATTTGTGAGCTAACTGTACATATTTGTTACACTCATATAATCTCCTGGCATGGTTCTCCCTTAATCACTGGAGCTATAACTACAAACTGTACTATTTTTTGAGATGACTATTAAAATTTAAAAGTGAACAACAATAGCATAAAATTATACTTAAACTTCAAACATCCTGTGGTCTATGAAATTTTAAGTTTGTGTCTGATTTCTATGCCCTTCAGTATTAGATTTCAAACATAAAAGGAAAATACTTAACACATGACAACTCTATTTCCTATACAAGGCATGTCAGATAAAACGTATCTTATAGAAAACTACAAGACATTTTAAACATAATTAAGTAAATTCATGAGATCACTTATTTTGTTTAAGTTTTTAGTTACCACATTGAGATCTACAGTTCTGAGATATATGGGTTAATGCTAAACCATGGATAAAATAATCTTAAAATTAATTTCAAATAGCTCAAATGTATTGTTCTTTCCATTCTTGGAATTAGAATGTTATGCAACAATTTAAGCACACCATGGTTAAGAAAGCTGACAACTGATATCTTTGTTATTATCTGTAGAACTAAAAAAAAGTAATAATATTTGTGTTTGTGCAAGTGCATGTGGAAGATGGTAGAATATGGTGCCCCAAAATGTGTCACTTTATAATAAGCATTATTCTGAGCTGAAGGCAACTGAGAAGAAAATCTCTCTGCCTTCCCTCTGTTTGCTTAAAAGCAGGACACACATTTCCAAAGGTGTCCTTCCTTCCACCTCTGCCAGGAAAACAAAGGTCGATCACCTAGGATGGCCTTAGCCCTTGTCATACTGGAGATAGTACCTGAGCAATGTACACAACAAAGTTTGCTAACCACTGTTAGCTATTATTAGTTTTGCATACCTGGCCTTCTCATACCATTCTTTTTTGGTTTTTAGCCAAAGATGATATTTAAATCTAAGTTCTGAGCCAACTCAGGAGTCTCCCAAATAGACATGAAATATACATGTTAATGAACTTGTATTTGTTTTCCTCTTGTTAATCTGTCATTTGTTATAAAGCTCCCAGCTAAGAACTTGGAAAGTAGGTTAGAGGGAAAACAATTTTTCCTCCCCACCCTGCCCTGTATGTGATTGGTAAAGGACAGTTTATAGAACAAGGAAGAAAGAGAGGAAGGAGAGAAGAGAAACTAGAAAATGAAACAAAGCAGGAGGCTATAAGAGGTGCAAGGAAAGTTAAAGAGAGAGCATGTCAAGGTTGCAAGAGAGAGGATTTCTTTTT